AGATAAAAAAAAAAAAAAAAAAAAAGCAAAAACACAAGCAACAACAGACAGAAGTTCAGCATTTCTGCTTTCCTGAATTTCTAGCATGAAATATTTGTTCAGAAGATCTAAGTGATAGAAAAAGGGAAAACCATATATATGTATTTCTTTTCTTTTAGGCAAAATAGAACGTCAAATACTGATAGAAGAGAAATCTCCAAGTATGAAACTTGAGAGTTTATGTGAAGCTATACAACTAAGCTTGAAAAATGATCAGAACTCGGGGTAAAAAACATGCCTTTCCATTGTTACAGTGATATTTGTGTTTGGTGTGAACTTTGCGTTCTGCCAGGACGTTGAATATTCAGGGAGAGGATGAGCAGGAGGCCTTATCTGTCCAACACGGTTACTGGCTTGTTTTTCAAACCTGTTGCTCTTGGCTTTCACCAAGGCCCCTTTATAGTAATGGTGGATGGTGCCCATTGCCGTGCTGGCTTATTGGACTGTAAATTATTTCAGGCCTGTTCCTGATCTCCTCTCAGTCTCAGGGTTGTGACAGTTTAACCTGGACTTCTAAAGAGAAGATGCTTTTTTGCATGTGATTTGTATCTAGAAGGGATATGTGTGGTTATTCTCCCTGGTCATCTACACCAGGGCTGGCCAGCTTAATTCTTCAGAAAAATCAGCTGAATATTGAGCGCAAGCCACTATTATTAAAACAGCACTGATCCAAGTGGCCCCAACTGGCATCTTTGATAGTAAATACACAGACCTAAGTTGTACTCTCTCACTGCTTTCTGCCTAACTATATTTCATTCAGTTTTAACCATAGGAGAAGAGTACGGTAACCTAGTTTACAAGGCAGGTTCCTCAAGTCCTGACTTTTCCTTGCCTGCTGGAATGTTCCCCTATGTTCTACACAGTGGGCTTCACAGCAGTCATAGCGTGCAGTGCTGCCAGTTTAGGACAAACTCTTTCTTCAAGAGCTTCCAGTGCAGACAGGAAGACTCTGGTACCTATGGCCAGAGGTGCTATGAAAAGGAGGTCTGAGTATTGGGAAAGATTCTACTTTTGCCTGTGTTTATCTTTCATGAGCCTTGTCAGGAAATGATGCAAAAAGATTATGAGTGGTAAAGCTCTTAATAAGATTAATGCTGTTTCATTTTAGATTGATAAGAGATGCCTACCTAGAAATGGCTCTGTTGTGTTTTCATCTAAAGATTTCAAAGAGGAAAGTTTCACAGACACCATCCACAGTTAAGGTAATAGCCAAGTTTATTGGAAATTATAAGTTAATTGACTTTGATCTTTCCATTTTAGTAGCACTGTGCTGTTGAGATAATGAGGCATTTTCCTATGTGACTTAGAGAAATTAATCAATTACTTTATAGTCACTCTTTATTTAGATGCCTCTTTGGACAGTTTATGTAGGGCTCTGGAAATTGATTTCATTTAGATTTTTTTTTTTTTTGCTTGTTAAAATGTTATACATGAAAGGTTGGTGTGTGTAAATACTCTTAGGCAACGGATCATTAGTATTGATCAGAATATTGCAGGAAATGATATACTGGTTAAACAGGTGGACAGGTAAAGCTTTCAGTACTGACATGACCTATAAACAGCTGGCTTCTAGAGGCATTCACTGGTTCATCACATGTCTAAAGAGCACCTACTATGATCCAGGCTCTGTTCTAGAGGAAGGTGTAAAGTGTGTCCGAGGTGAGCTCAGTCCCTGCTCTCCTCAGGTTTGTCTTTCATAGAGAAAAATCTGCAGTGAGGATGGTAACATGTGCTTCTTTGAGGAGCTAGGAGAATGAACAAATAATGGGTTAATGCATGATCAATACTCAAAAAAGTGGAACTACTATCTATCGTGATGTAGCTTGAAGTCAGACATCTGTGTTCTCTCTGAAGTACAGTATCTGTCGATGGGTACCCAGGCTGACTCCGTCTTGGCTGTTGTATATGGTGCCACAGCAAATGGGGCTATACAGGTGTTTATTTTATGTGTTTTGTATGACTTCATTTCCATCAGATACATATCCAGGAGTGGGGTAGCAGGAGTGTGTGATAATCCTACTTGTACTTTTTTTGAGGAACCGCATACTATTTTCTGTAGTAGCTATACTAATTTACATTCCTACCAGTGGTGTATAATGGTTCCTTTTCCTTCACGTCTTTGCCAGTATTTGTTATCTGTTTGTTGATAATAGTTATTCTGACTGGGATGTGATGGAACCTCACTGTAGTCTTGAAGTGCATTTCCCTGATGGCTAAAGATATTGAGTACTTTCACTGGCCATTTGGATTTCTTCCTTTGAGTAGTATATATTCAGATCATTTGCACATTTTAATTGGATTACTTTTATTATTAAAAGTTTTTGAGTTATTTGTGTATTGTGGGTATATGTTTGTTACTTCTATTGTGAATGGATTTTGTCTTATTTTTATAGTTGGCTTCTATGTTTTATTATTTTATATTTTGTGTCTTGCTAAATACTTATATTGAGAGAGAGAATTTCTTAGCATTTGCTAAATATGGATCATGTTTTCTGCAAACCAAACAATTGTCCTCCATATCCACAGTGTTTGCATTTTTCTCTTTCTTGTTTGGCTGGGCTGTGAAATACTGTCACTTCTGTCATCTGTGTTCATTTCCACATCCTGATTTTTCCATTCTAACCTCAGGCCCAGCCTTCTCAATAAAACTTTCTGCTCAGTTGAAAATGCCTTCTTTCTGTTTTTTGCATGCCTGGGTAACTAATTTCTTCACACTACAGTTATCTGCTATTATTCTGTGTTCTTCATTTCATACTTGTTAGTCTCAGTCCCAGCATTTAAGGAGGTAAATGGCTCAAGCGTAAAGCTGCAGTAACCTATTGGTTTGGACCTCTTGCCTGAGTGGTTCCACCACAGCCTGTGGCTGGGGTCTTCTAGCCCTGTGACAGCCCTGAGCTGCTCATCCCGGAGACAGATCTGTCCGGTGCCGTCTTCTTCCAGGCCTGGCCCTCAGTCAGGGCAGTCTCAGTGCGTCGAGCTGACTGCTGCAGTGTCTGCTGTACCCACTGCCCTTTCTGCTCCCCATGGTCTTCTAGACAAAAGTCAAATCAAGATGTATTTTTTGTTTTTGTTTGTTTTAGTCTGTAGTTTTGTTACAGATTAAAGATGATCAAAATATAGGCATCAAAAAAATTAAATCCTAGGGGTCCGATTTAAAAATTATCTTTATTTAGATCATTTAAATATTAAGAAATAACTGTTAATGGGAGCTGGGGATGTAGTTCAGTGGTGTTGCTGCCTGCCTTTCAAGCGGAAGGTCCTGAGTTCGATCCCAGGTACTCCCCAAAAGAGAAATAGCCATTGATGTTTATTTATTGTAGTCATATTTAAAAATGTAAAATAGATACTATGTTGCTGGTAAAGGCTCTCTCTGAATTTTTTATGTTTAGAAACCGAATGTGTATGTGTGTGTATATAGATAGATGGATAGATACCGTGTGTACTCATGGTAAAAAAAAAGACTCCATTGTTTCTTTTTTGTTATTCAATAGAACTTTATGATAATATCTCCCCCTTTCAACATTTTCTTTCTTACAAAAATGATTTTAAAAAAGCCTATCAAAAGCTTTAAATACTATTCTCATTTCTTACATCTTTCCCACAATACATTCAGTGTTTAGATCCTCTATTAAAACATTTTTTTTCTCATTGAGTTTGTTGGTACATTGTAGGCATATAGTACAGTTACATTCATCGTTGGGATCTTGTACCTTTACATGACAGGTCTTGGTTCTCATTTTTTCCCATACCCCTAGCCTCCCCTCACACCCTCCTCTCTTCCCCATTTACAAAAACTTTATTTCTATTTTTTCATTTTCTCAGATTTTTTTCTTTGCCCTATTTCCTTTCCCCTACCCTTCCCACTTCCCCTCACCTTTAGCCCTTTTCTTCCTATTTCACATTGTCAATTATACCATTAGGATTTTATTTACAATTATAATTTTTCACACCAGAGAAGCTATTTGGTATTTACACATGTGTGACTTATTTATTTCACTTAAAAGTATAACCTCCATATGCATCCATTTTCCTATGAATGACTCTAATTTCTTATTCTTTATGACTGAGTAGTATTCTATTTTATAGAAAAATCACATCATCTTTATCCAGTCTACAACTGATGGGCAATTGGGCTATTTCCAAGTTTTAGCTATTACAAACTGTGCTGCTGTAAACATGGGTGTACATATATCACTGTGGTATGATTCTTTTAATTCTTTTGGAAAGATACACCGCAGAGGGATGGCTGAGTCAAATGGAACCTCTAGTCCTAGTTCTTTGAGGTAGCTCCATATTGATTTCCATAGTGGTTGCACCAGTCTGCACTCCCCCCAACAACAGAAAAGCATTCCTTTCTTCCCACAACCCTGCCAACATTTATTACTGGTTGATTTCAGCCATTATTTGTGGGGTGAGGTGGCATCTCAGTGTTGTTTTCATCTGCATCTCTCAAATGACCAATAATGTGGAACATTTTTTTGCATATATTTATTTGATGCTTTTACTTATCTGAGAAAATTCTGTTCATTTCAGATGCCCATTTTTGAATTGGGTCTTTATATTTGGGGGGCCTGATTTTTTTGAGTTCTTTATATATTCTAGATAATAGTCCTTTGTCTGAGGACCAGCTGGTAAAAATGTTTTTCCACATTGTAGGTCATCTCTTAGTTCTGTTGATGGTTTCTTTTGCAGTGCAGAAGCTTTTTAAGAAGATGAGATTCCAGTTGTTGATTCTTTGTGCTAATTCCTGTGCTACTGAGGATTTGTTTATAAACTCTTTTCCTATGCCAGTGTCTTCAAGAGTTCTGCCTAACTTATCTTCCAGCAAATTTAGTGTCTCTTTTTTAATATTTTGGTCTTTAATCCACTTGGATTTTAGTTTAGTGTATGGTGAAAGATAGGGGTCTAGTTTTAATCTTTGGCAGGTTGAAATCCAGTTTTTCCAATAACATTTATTAAAGAGGCTATCTTTGCTCCACCAAGGATGGTTGACTCTTGTCAAAGATTAGGTAGCTGAATACATCTGGAGTTGTTTCTGTATCTTCCAATCTATTCTACTGATCCTCAGGTCTGTTTCTTTGCCAGTACCATTTTTTTTTTTTTTATCACAGTGGCTTTGTAGTATAGTTTCAAGTTGGGGATTGTGATACCCCCTGTCATGTCTCTGTTGCCTAGAATGGGTTTTGCTATTCTAGGTCTCTTCTGGTTCCAAATGAATTTTTGGATTCTTTTTTCTAGTTCTGTGAAATATAGGGTTGGAATTTCAATTGGCATTGCATTGAATCTGTATAGCAATTTTGGTAGTACAGCTGTTTACACTATGTTGATTCTTCCTACCCAGGAACAGGGGATATCTTTCCAATTTTTTATATCCTCTTCGATTTCTTTTTTCAGAGTGCTGTAGTTTTCATTGTAGAGGTCTTTTGCTTCTTTCGCTAGATTGATTCCTAGATACTTCATTTTTTGGGGATGCTCTTGTGAAAGGAATTGTTTCCCTAATTTCTCTCTCGGTGAAACTGTTATTTGTGTACAAGAAGGCTTTTGATTTCTGAGTGTTGAGTGTCAATTAAGTCTAGAAGTCTTTTGGTGGAATTTTTTGGGTCTTCTATGTAGAGTATGATATTGTCAGCAACTAGTGATAGTTTAACTTCTTCCTTTCCTATCTTTATTGCTTTAATTTCTTTCTCTTGTCTAATTGCTGTGGCTAATGTTTCCAGAACTATATTGAAGAGGAGTGGTGGTATTAAAATGACCTTTGACTTTACTAAAATGACATTTTATTGGAACACAAATTGCGTTATATCATTATAGAAAATTGGAAAAAATATTTTAAAATAATTTAGTCATCTTTAAAAATTAGGATAACCGTTGTTGTTAACCCTTTTTGTGCTTGTATGCATAGGCAATATATATGTTTGCATTTTAAAAAACAGGATCATGCTTTGTATAGTGTTTTTTAACCTATACTTTTCTTTCCTTCTTATATTTTGAACATCTTTTCCTTTCAGTAAATACATTATTATTGTTAATGGCTAAATAGTATTCCACAGAAGTGTCAGAAGATGAGAATAAGATTCCGACAAAATCTTCAGAAGATGCGGCAGTTTATCAGGACATTTTATATGTTATGTGTTCATTGTGAAACTGTTTTTTTTTTATTCTTAGCCTCCTGTCAGAAGGACTAGTTCTAGTAAAGAACCAGTCCTAAGTCGATTTGAACTCTGCAGTTTATTGGCCTGGATTGCAGTGAGAGCCGCTACCCAGGTTGGTACTGCTCCTGTCAGTCCCCGGTTCAGGCAGTGCGCTCCATCTACCCAAGACAGGAAAACTTCCCATTCTTTCCCATTTGCATTATGTTTGTTTGGAAAGATTGGAAATACTCTGTATTTCACGTAGTGGTTTTAATCTCTACTGGCCAGACCTGGCTCTGTTTGTTTCAATTTTCTTTAATGAAACCACTAATGGATTCGTATGTGTACACATCTGACATTTTGGCAAGTATCTGCCATCGCTGTGTGAGCTGGCCTATTTAAAGTGATTTATCCATTAATTAAATTGTCAAAAGTAAATTACTCGTTTAACTGAAATATATATTGTACATGTCAGGGATCATATATTATTTTTTCAGGTTGTCATTTTTTCTTATAGATTAAATATTACTTTATGAATTCACTTCCCCACATTAGTTATTATATTAGCCTGCTTCATGCTGCTATAATAGACCTGCACACACCAGGTAATTTATAATTAGCGGAAATTTACTGACTTAGTTCTGGAGGCCAGGAAAGCCAGGGTTAAGGGACTGAGCTAGAAAGGACCTGCTTACTGCATCATTCGGGGACCGCGGGTGAAAGGATGCAGAGAGGGAAAGGGGAGGCTGACTTGTCCCGTGAGGAGAGCCCAGTCCCATGACTACCACGCCAGTCTCACCTAGAGGACAAACTCCTCTGACCCCGTCTCCTCTCACATGTCTGAGGTCCTAACGCTGCCGCCTTGGGAATCAGTTTGCGAAGTCGTTCAAACTTTAGAGGCTACGTTAAAACCGCAGCGTTTATGTAGCGAGTGACACCGGAATAAAGATTTCTGACTCCTGACATGTGGATTAATTGTAGGTCAGTGAAGCTGCACTGGCAGTTAACCTCCTCATCGGAAAGAAGAGTTCCAGGGCCGACACAGTGGCTCCGATGGTCTTGCCGAGCATTCCGGAATTTGCCACTGTGGACCTTCTCACCTCATACCCAGATTATTTGCTTGGTATGTTTGAATGTTACGTATTTTATGAAAACTTTGCTTGTAATCACGTTTTCAAACTTTAGCTGCTGTGATTTGCTGGCTTTTGGCATCGAGGGTGCGACAGTACGTGGCACCCGCAGGGAAGCATAGGGTCCAGGCGGAGACAGCCACTACCGAGACTTTTTCTGTGGACGTTTTGTTTCCTTATTTTTATTTCTTTCGCTTCTGATTGTTTTGCTTCTTCAGGTTTCTGGGCCATGCCGGGCATCTCCAACGGGAAGCTCACACTTCCTCGGCGTCTCCATAGATGCCATGGCTGGGGACAGAGCCAGGGCCCTGCACGGCAGTGCGGCAGCCGGGAGGAACGGGTCACCCCTTCCTTTGCTGCACACTGCTTGGCCACACAGTGCGGCCCTTGAAGTCCACATGATTGTTTTGTTATGAAAGGAGCACAGCTAATTATCAAGAGACCTCAGCTGGAGTCCTCCTAGCGGCACATCATTTAGGGTCTTTCAGCTTCATTTTCCTCATCCGTTAACTGAGTCAGTCACAATCTAAACATTTAAAGAGCGTGACTCAAACTTCCAGCATGGTTATTTCTTCTTCATAGTGGCTCCTTATTAATTTGTGAACATGTGTCTGCTTTATCTTGATCATTGCTTTGTACTCTACCAGTTTTTTTGATTTGCTTGGCTATTTCTTTATGTATTGCAGTAGTACAGACAACCAAGTTCCAGTCCTGCACTAAATGAATTGGTCACTAAAAGAGGAATTGTATATAGTATGTACATTACAATATTCAGAACAGAGAAATGGCCAAAGGAAACTCCAGCTTGACGACTTTGTTTTTATTTGGGAAGCTTACATAATATAAGGATATATAACAGAACATAAAACTCCAGTACTGTACTGTACAGTACAATCAGAAAAAATCACAGTAGTGTACAAACAAGGCGTACTGTACAAAAAAGACATTGAGGCTCTATAAATAAGATGTACAAAAAAAAGAGATGGATTGTAAATTTGATCGATGGGTTGTGAGTCTGAACAGTCATTACACAGGTCGGTCATTAAACGAGGAATATCTGTAGTAGAAATGGAACCCAGAGAGCACTGACCTATGTCCTCAGCCCTTCTGAAAAATTTGTTTTGAGAAAGGGCCTTGTTAAATTGCCCAGGATGTCTTGATCTTTAGATCTTCCTGCCTCAGTGTCCCAAGAAAGTACTGGCATGCACCACCGTGCTTGGCCTCTACCAGTATTTAGGACAGGGCTAACAAATTTCACTCTGGATCCTTTTTTTATCACAGTGGCTTTGTAGTATAGTTTCAAGTTGGGGATTGTGATACCCCCTGTCATGTCTCTGTTGCCTAGAATGGGTTTTGCTATTCTAGGTCTCTTCTGGTTCCAAATGAATTTTTGGATTCTTTTTTCTAGTTCTGTGAAATATAGGGTTGGAATTTCAATTGGCATTGCATTGAATCTGTATAGCAGTTTTGGTAGTATGGCCATTTTCACTATGTTGATTCTTCCTACCCAGGAGCAGGGGATATCTTTCCATTTTCTTATATCCTCTTTGATCTCTTTTTTCAGAGTGCTGTAGTTTTCATTGTAGAGGTCTTTTGCTTCTTTCGCTAGATTGATTCCTAGATACTTCATTTTTTGGGGATGCTCTTGTGAAAGGAATTGTTTCCCTAATTTCTCTCTCGGTGAAACTGTTATTTGTGTACAAGAAGGCTTTTGATTTCTGAGTGTTGAGTGTCAATTAAGTCTAGAAGTCTTTTGGTGGAATTTTTTGGGTCTTCTATGTAGAGTATGATATTGTCAGCAACTAGTGATAGTTTAACTTCTTCCTTTCCTATCTTTATTGCTTTAATTTCTTTCTCTTGTCTAATTGCTGTGGCTAATGTTTCCAGAACTATATTGAAGAGGAGTGGTGGTATTAAAATGACCTTTGACTTTACTAAAATGACATTTTATTGGAACACAAATTGCGTTATATCATTATAGAAAATTGGAAAAAATATTTTAAAATAATTTAGTCATCTTTAAAAATTAGGATAACCGTTGTTGTTAACCCTTTTTGTGCTTGTATGCATAGGCAATATATATGTTTGCATTTTAAAAAACAGGATCATGCTTTGTATAGTGTTTTTTAACCTATACTTTTCTTTCCTTCTTATATTTTGAACATCTTTTCCTTTCAGTAAATACATTATTATTGTTAATGGCTAAATAGTATTCCACAGAAGTGTCAGAAGATGAGAATAAGATTCCGACAAAATCTTCAGAAGATGCGGCAGTTTATCAGGACATTTTATATGTTATGTGTTCATTGTGAAACTGTTTTTTTTTTATTCTTAGCCTCCTGTCAGAAGGACTAGTTCTAGTAAAGAACCAGTCCTAAGTCGATTTGAACTCTGCAGTTTATTGGCCTGGATTGCAGTGAGAGCCGCTACCCAGGTTGGTACTGCTCCTGTCAGTCCCCGGTTCAGGCAGTGCGCTCCATCTACCCAAGACAGGAAAACTTCCCATTCTTTCCCATTTGCATTATGTTTGTTTGGAAAGATTGGAAATACTCTGTATTTCACGTAGTGGTTTTAATCTCTACTGGCCAGACCTGGCTCTGTTTGTTTCAATTTTCTTTAATGAAACCACTAATGGATTCGTATGTGTACACATCTGACATTTTGGCAAGTATCTGCCATCGCTGTGTGAGCTGGCCTATTTAAAGTGATTTATCCATTAATTAAATTGTCAAAAGTAAATTACTCGTTTAACTGAAATATATATTGTACATGTCAGGGATCATATATTATTTTTTCAGGTTGTCATTTTTTCTTATAGATTAAATATTACTTTATGAATTCACTTCCCCACATTAGTTATTATATTAGCCTGCTTCATGCTGCTATAATAGACCTGCACACACCAGGTAATTTATAATTAGCGGAAATTTACTGACTTAGTTCTGGAGGCCAGGAAAGCCAGGGTTAAGGGACTGAGCTAGAAAGGACCTGCTTACTGCATCATTCGGGGACCGCGGGTGAAAGGATGCAGAGAGGGAAAGGGGAGGCTGACTTGTCCCGAGAGGAGAGCCCAGTCCCATGACTACCACGCCAGTCTCACCTAGAGGACAAACTCCTCTGACCCCGTCTCCTCTCACATGTCTGAGGTCCTAACGCTGCCGCCTTGGGAATCAGTTTGCGAAGTCGTTCAATTTAGAGGCTACGTTTGGAAAGGGGAGGCTGACTTGTCCCGTGAGGAGAGCCCAGTCCCATGACTACCACGCCAGTCTCACCTAGAGGACAAACTCCTCTGACCCCGTCTCCTCTCACATGTCTGAGGTCCTAACGCTGCCGCCTTGGGAATCAGTTTGCGAAGTCGTTCAAACTTTAGAGGCTACGTTAAAACCGCAGCGTTTATGTAGCGAGTGACACCGGAATAAAGATTTCTGACTCCTGACATGTGGATTAATTGTAGGTCAGTGAAGCTGCACTGGCAGTTAACCTCCTCATCGGAAAGAAGAGTTCCAGGGCCGACACAGTGGCTCCGATGGTCTTGCCGAGCATTCCGGAATTTGCCACTGTGGACCTTCTCACCTCATACCCAGATTATTTGCTTGGTATGTTTGAATGTTACGTATTTTATGAAAACTTTGCTTGTAATCACGTTTTCAAACTTTAGCTGCTGTGATTTGCTGGCTTTTGGCATCGAGGGTGCGACAGTACGTGGCACCCGCAGGGAAGCATAGGGTCCAGGCGGAGACAGCCACTACCGAGACTTTTTCTGTGGACGTTTTGTTTCCTTATTTTTATTTCTTTCGCTTCTGATTGTTTTGCTTCTTCAGGTTTCTGGGCCATGCCGGGCATCTCCAACGGGAAGCTCACACTTCCTCGGCGTCTCCATAGATGCCATGGCTGGGGACAGAGCCAGGGCCCTGCACGGCAGTGCGGCAGCCGGGAGGAACGGGTCACCCCTTCCTTTGCTGCACACTGCTTGGCCACACAGTGCGGCCCTTGAAGTCCACATGATTGTTTTGTTATGAAAGGAGCACAGCTAATTATCAAGAGACCTCAGCTGGAGTCCTCCTAGCGGCACATCATTTAGGGTCTTTCAGCTTCATTTTCCTCATCCGTTAACTGAGTCAGTCACAATCTAAACATTTAAAGAGCGTGACTCAAACTTCCAGCATGGTTATTTCTTCTTCATAGTGGCTCCTTATTAATTTGTGAACATGTGTCTGCTTTATCTTGATCATTGCTTTGTACTCTACCAGTTTTTTTGATTTGCTTGGCTATTTCTTTATGTATTGCAGTAGTACAGACAACCAAGTTCCAGTCCTGCACTAAATGAATTGGTCACTAAAAGAGGAATTGTATATAGTATGTACATTACAATATTCAGAACAGAGAAATGGCCAAAGGAAACTCCAGCTTGACGACTTTGTTTTTATTTGGGAAGCTTACATAATATAAGGATATATAACAGAACATAAAACTCCAGTACTGTACTGTACAGTACAATCAGAAAAAATCACAGTAGTGTACAAACAAGGCGTACTGTACAAAAAAGACATTGAGGCTCTATAAATAAGATGTACAAAAAAAAGAGATGGATTGTAAATTTGATCGATGGGTTGTGAGTCTGAACAGTCATTACACAGGTCGGTCATTAAACGAGGAATATCTGTAGTAGAAATGGAACCCAGAGAGCACTGACCTATGTCCTCAGCCCTTCTGAAAAATTTGTTTTGAGAAAGGGCCTTGTTAAATTGCCCAGGATGTCTTGATCTTTAGATCTTCCTGCCTCAGTGTCCCAAGAAAGTACTGGCATGCACCACCGTGCTTGGCCTCTACCAGTATTTAGGACAGGGCTAACAAATTTCACTCTGGATCCTGAAGCTGAACAGTGGCTTACAACAGTAAGAGTTCCCTTTTCTGCTCACACCTGTGGTCCTCCGCTTCGGGCTGCAGGCTGGGCTCGGGTCCTCTGTGTGCATACGTCGTGGGGCCTAAGCTA